GGGGGAAATGAATAGGAGCAGGGCGAGGCCAGCAGGGCCCGGGGCCTGGGAGGCCTGGGAGGCCTGGGCTTTTTGGGGGGCTGGTTCCTGGTGCTGGGTCCTGGGGGGAGGTCCTCGGGGCTGGGTCCTGGAGGGGTCTCCAAACCAGGTGGTGAGACACCCGGTGGTGACCCCGATTCCCTCAACAAATAATTCTGGGTCACCACCGGGTTTGGGGACACGCGATCGCCACGAGGTTTTGCGTTTCCTGGGCCAGCCAGCGCTCGAAAACCATTACCCAAATCGCCCAAAACTCACCACCGGGTATTCTCACCACCACGTTTGGGGACCACCAAGTGTCCCGTGGCCGAGCGTCCAGGAGGCCGGTTCGATTTTGGAGGGGGGCGGAGGAGAGAGGAGAGATGGGGATGGAGGGAGGAGGAGGTTGGGAGGAGAGGGCGTGGTAGAATGCCTCGGCTCTTGGCCCGTCGGAGGCTTTGTGTGGGCCCCGGGACCCCCAGGGGGGGAGTCGTATCTGACGCGGGACCCCCCCTTGGACCCCCCCGGGACTGCCCCCGGGACCCCCCCCGAGACACCCTCCCCCGGCAGGGAAGGGATCAAAGGGAAGGGGCTTCGCTTCGACTCAACGACAACGTTGCTCTTGAGGGGGAGGCCCTGGAAAAGTGGGGGGGGGAGCGGCGACGGGCCCAGGGAAGAGGGGTAAAGTGGAGGAGGGGAGACGGGCCCAGGGAAAGGGGGAGCGCAGGGACAGGAGACGGCTGGCCCAGGGAAAGGGCGGGCGCAGGGACAGGAGACGACGGATACGACGACGAACGAACGACGGGAACGGACAAGCCCCTCACACACGCCGACACAGGGTCGGCGGATTTGGTGCGATCGATTTGTGGGGTTGCAATCTGTTCTTGGGCGCAAATGTATTGATGGGTTTTCGCGTGCAATGCATTCGTCGCAATACAGTGTAATACAATTCTCCGGCGCAGTACATTTGCAACACACTCGCCCCAAGTCTATTGCACCACCCCCTTTCAGCTGGACCCCCTGTTGGGTCGACCAAATTGGAGCGTCTGGGGGCGCGGACGCATGTGGTCACAGCCACCGGGGCCTTCGCTGGAGCCCCCCGTGGGACCACGAAGCGCTGCACTGGATTGCGCGGATGGAGCTCCCTATGGGGCCACGAAGCGTTGCATTCTCCTGCGCAGACGCATGTGGTCACAGGCACTGGGACCGTTGGTGGGACCCCCATGGGGTCTCCAAACGTTGTATTCTCATGCGCAGACTCATTTGGTCACAGCCACTGGGGCCTTCGGCGGTGGAGCTCCTTGCGGGGCCACGAAGCGCCGTATTCTCGTGCGCCGACGCATGTGGTCACAGCCACTGGGGCCTTCGATGGAGCTCCCTATGAGGCCACGAAGCGCCGTATTCTCATGCGCGGACGCATGTGGATGTGGTCTCAGCCACTGGGGCTTTCGCTAGAGCTCCCTATGAGGCCACGAAGCGCTTTATGCTCGTGCGCGGACGCATGTGGTTACAGCCACTGGGGTCTTCGGTGGACCTCGATGACCTCCATGTGAGGCCACGATTGCCCAAAAATATTGAATCACTCAAGAAACTGTCCCACATCAGCCTCAGGTGCCCCCAGGTTCGCACCAACACGGCGCCACGCGTGCATACATAATTATGTATATCGGGTCATGAAGTCTATTGATATGTACGGACATACATGTTCAGGTGTGTATGCAGATGTGTTTACGTATGTATGTGTATTTCTGCATTTGTATGCGTATATGTGGTTGTTCGTCTGAAGAACCTGCATCTGCACTCCCAGACCGCACGTGCTCCGCTCGGCACGTGCATTCCACCTGCAGGCACGCCGTGGACAGGGCCTTTTCGTCAGGCGCAGGGGCAGTGCCAGCGCTGCGGTCAGAACGCCCCCGCGGACTGGCAACGAGGCACTCTTTTCTGGTGCAGGAGAGGTGCCAGCAGCGCTGCGGTGAGAACGCCGGCGGACGCGAAGCGAGGCACCGTCTTTTTCCGCGTCTTTCTTGGGGTCTTCCCCAGTGCCGCTCAGGAGGGGAAGAAACACACACAGACACAATTCATCGTCGACTCCCAGGAACATATGGGACAATATGGGAAGTGGGGGGGCAGACAGAGACCCAGAAAATATTGGGAAAATGTGGGAAATGGGGAATATGGGGAAATATGGGGAATATGGGGAAATATGGGAAACCCAGAAGATATGGGAAAATATGGGGAATCTTTTTATCTGTGTGTATCTATTTGTGTGTCCTGGGGCCCCTTCCGCCGCGGCCGCGTTTTCCGGTGGCCGTGGGCGCGGCCGCACCTCGCCGCTCACGCCCTCTTGCTGTGGTAGCATGTGGTGTCTTGCGCTGTGCGCTGCCGGGCCTGGCCGCCACGGCGAGCCAGGAGGAGGAGGAGGAGGAGGAGGAGGAGGAAGAGGAGGAGGAGGAGGAGGAGGAGGAGGAGGAGGAGGAGGACGAGGAGCACGAGGAGGACGAGGAGGAGGAGGAGGAGGAGGAGGAGGAGGAGGAGAAGGAGAAGGAGGTCCGTGCGCTGCCGGGCCTGGCCACAACGGCAAGCCTTGAGGGAAACATACGCGCGGCAGAGGAGTCGTTGGTCAGAGCCCCGAATCATCAGGGGTAACTCGGGTCAGGGATAACTCGGATTCGTTTTTCGGGAATCCAAACCCGAGTTACCCCGGACCCGAGTTACCCCGGATAATTCGGGCGTCCAGAGCCCCGAATCATCAGGGGTAACTCGGGTCAGGGGTAACTCGGGTTCCTTTTTCGGGAATCCAAAGCCGAGTTACCCCGGACCCGAGTTACCCCGGATAATTCGGGCGTCCAGAGCCCCGAATCATCAGGGGTAACTCGGGTCAGGGTAACTCGGGTCAGGGGTAACTCGGGTTCCTTTTTCGGGAATCCAAAGCCGAGTTACCCCGGACCCGAGTTACCCCAGATAACTCGGGCGCCCAAGTTGGTCCGAGTCAATTGGTGACCAATTCTGAATGCCTGCGAGTATGAGCTAAACTTGGTTCAGGCGTGCAGACCTTGGGAACCTATGCGGATGAGGAGTGGGAATGAGGAGGGAGGGCGAGCACGAGGAGAGGCGTGGCGAGGATGATGAGCCAGGGCGAGTCTTGGGGCGATAGGGGGAGAAGCAGCAGCAGGGACATCGACATCAAGGGCAGGGCGATGAGGGAGTAGAAAGGAGAGCATGAGAAACAAGTGAGAGCAGTAGCAGGAGAGAGAGAGAGAGAGAGAGAGAGCCCATGGAACACTCCCAAAGGGGGGCTGGTCCCCCTTAAGCTCCCCCCCTCCCTTAGATCTCCCTTTCAGTGAGGAGTGATCACGGGCGCGCTCTTCTCAGCAGGAGCATGATGGGTAATATCAGTTATTCCCGGTGCCCCCAATGTTCGGAGGAGTACGCCGGCCTGGGCGAGTTCTACCGCCTCGTCGGCTGCCCGGGGCCCCCTTTGCGCAAGGCCCCGACAGCTGGAGGGCTTCGCTGAAATTGGAGGTACGGGATGGGGGCAGGGGGAGGAGTTGGCGAACAAACGGCGGTACGATAATCGCCAGCCCAACGGGCGAAAGCTGGGCCAGATCTCTGGTGAGAGGTTCACAGTGTCTTGCATGGTATCAGTCCTCGCGCACGGGGCGGCTCTTGGCGGTGCCCAAGGTACCCTGGCAGGGTCCAGGGAAACGCCAGGGGAACCAGGGTCAGATGTTGATCTTCTCTTGGGCGCGGCCCTCAGGGACCCCCAGGACAGCCACAGGATCGCCCCGAGGGTGCCCCAGGAGAGCCCCTAACCGGCCCATGATCGTTGATCTCCCGAGAAAGCCCGAGGTGGCCCAAGATGATCCCATGCAGACCCCCAGAGGCACCCAGGAGGCCATCATCTTTTGAACAGCCGGAGGCAACTTAGACACGTCGGCTCCAAGATAGACTTACAGCGGCCCAGGAGCGAAGTCAATTGGTGGACGGCCCCAGGTCAGCCTCGAGAGGCCCAGGAGGGCACGGACTCGATTCGCCAGAGTCTCGGCTCGCAGGATCTCGGTTTGCCGGAGCTTGTTTCGCTGGGGATTGGCTTAAGTCGGGCTTGTCCCCCTACATGGGTATTTTCGAAGAAAAACAAAAATATTCCAAACATAGTCCAACAATAGTCTGGGGACGATTTGTTGAACATTTTTTGAACATTTTGGGGCAGTTTTGGGGTATCATTTTTTTTCTCGTTGAACATCTCCCTGTAGGGAGACACGCCCGACTTAAGGCTTGGTTCGCAGGAGCTCGCTTCGCCCGGGCTCTTCTGTTCGACTCCATGCGCCAGGGCTCGGTTCACCGAGGCTCGGTTCGCCGGGGCTTGGCTCGCCTGGGCTCGTCAGGGCTCGTTTCGCTGGAGTCTCGTTTCGCTGGAGTCTCGTTTCGCCGGAGTCTCGTTTCGCCAGGGCTCGTTTCGCCAGGGTTCGTTTCGCTGGAGTCTCGTTTCGCTGGAGTCTCGTTTCGGCGGAGTTTCGTTTCGCCGGAGTCTCGTCAGGGCCCGTTTCGCGGGATTATCGTTTCGCCGGGGTTCGTTTTGCCAGAGTCTCGTTTCGCCGGGGTTCTTTTCGCCAGGGCTCGTTGCGCTGGGATTTATTTCGCCAGGGTTCGCTTCGCTGGGCACATCCATCCAGAGGGAAGGAAGGGGAGCAGGCGGGCGGACCCTAACGGGCGGGTCGGGTCGGGCAGGCGGACCCTGACGGGCGGGTCGGGACGGGCGGGCGGGACACTGAAGCAGGACGGGGCATCGAGCTAGCGCGCGCGAGCTCCACGGGGTGCGCCGGGTCGGGCGGGCGGACCCTGACGGGCGGGTCGGGTCGGGCGGGCGGGACATTGTAGCAGGATGCATCCTCGAGTGAGCTCGAGCGAGCCCTGCGCAACGGGCGGGTCGGGTCGGGTCGGGCGGGCCCAAAATGACGGTCGGGCGCGCGGGCGGGGCCAGGCTGCGCCCTGGGCGAATCGAGCCGGGCGAATGGAGCCTGGGGCCCGGGCGAATCTCGAGCCGGGCGAAGCGAGGCTCGGGCGATTCGAGCCGGGCGGTTCGAGCTGGGGCGAGGCAAGTTGGGCGAAGCAAGCCGGGCGAATCGAGACTTGGGCGAATGGAGCCAGGCGAGTCGAGCCTGGCGAATCGAGATTCGGCGAATCTAGTTGGGCGAATCGAGCCAGGGGAATCGCGACTCGGGCAAGTCAAGCTTACGCCCCCGAGACAGCCCTGAGGTGGGCCACGGATTCCATTCGTCACGTACAATCGATGATGCACGATAAGGGGGAAGGTACTGCGTTAGGGGTGTGTCGGGCTGAAAAGTTTGTGGCCCAGGGGGTTCTGGTGGAATTGGGGAAATGGGCCAGCGGAATGGGCGGAGCAGCTCTTAACATACATTTGCGCATGCAATCTCACCAGTCCTCTGCATCATTCGAGTAGGAGATCGACTGCATAATTGATTCAGCTCAAAAATGATTTCTTCGTCGAATTCTGAAAACAATGCGTCAACTCCTCGCGGTTCTACGCCCATTCTGCGTATTGTCTCGTACATTCGAGGAGCAATTCGATTTGGGGGCAAGTCAATTTTGTGTTCGATCCCCTACTCGAATCATCAGCACCTGATTGTCTATCCTTCGAGCCCAACTCGGCCAGGGTCGCGGGGGCCCCGCAGGGGAAACTCGCTCGCAGATTCTTTTGCAATCCGTGGGTGTTCGAGGCATGAGTCAGACGGGGCTTGGTCCGACTCGTTGCAATTTGTCTCAGGGCCATCCTCCCTCCCTCCTCCTCCTTCTCCTCCTCCTCCTCCTCCTCCTCCTCCTCCCCCGCTTCCTCCTCCTCCTCCTTCTCCTCCTCCCCTTGGGAGGGCAGGCGGTCTCAGGATCCAGCCGTATCCATTTTGGCTCAAGTCAAGCCACGCTTAGGGGAACAAAAAGTGACATGAACATAAAAACTCGGAGGTCCGCGCGGATTTCTCGGATTCGCGCTGGACCTCCTTGGCGGCGCCTCCGGCGCCGCCCCTGGCGCGCTCCGCGCGCCAGGGAGGGGGTCCAGCGCCGATCCGAGAAATCCGCGCGGACCTCCGAGTGTTTATGTGTATGCCACTTTTTGTTCCCCAAAAGATGGCTCAGGTCAGGCCACACTGGCTCAAACCGGGCTCAGGAGCCGGGCTCCTCGGCCCCTGCGCTGGCCGCAGGGGCGCGCACCTGCGCTGGAGGCTTCAGGTCCTGGTGCGTGGCCAGGGGCGCCGGCGCCTCCGCGGGACTGAAGGCGAGAGTGGACCAGGCCTCCGAGGAGGAGCCGGCGCTGGCGCTCTCCATGATCGGCGAAGAAGACAAGGCCAGGCTCTGCGCAGCCATGCCCAGGGGTCCCGCGCTGGGTCCCGTGCCAGAGCCACCACTGGCGTCCCTTCTCTTCAAGCGCGAGGTGAGTGCGTGGTGGGCATCGCATCGTGATGACTTGTGGAGCCGCATAGCAGACGGGGATTTCGTTTAATCTTCAGAGGACCACGCACTCGCAGATAGCATGGTATCGTTTAGTGACGCAGGCTTGTCTGGAGTCCGATGGAAAATAATAGTGGACAGCGACGGGCACAGGCTGTCACCACTGAGGACGATTACAGGAAGGCGTACACAGTGAATCTTGGCAAACGCATAGGTGTGGCGCCAGACAACGTGTACCATATAAAGTCAGAGCTGATAGAGCGATCGAGGATGGCATTGCGTCCTGTGATGGTATGCCAGCTGTTCAGTGTATTTTACATGCATTATTCGCAAACAAAGAGGTGTCGAAGTGGAGCCAGGGAAGCTTTGGCCCAAAAGTCTACGCTGCGCATAGCCTGGGCGCGTAAGCCAACGCTATGATTTCTGACTCTTTGTAACACCAGCCTGAGAAGCGCAGCGGGAAGAGCTACTACTCTAGGCCTCGACCGCTAGTTTGTGGAGTCTCCTAAATTGATCCTGGGGTCCAGTACTCCTTGCACTTTCACAACGGACTGGAAGCCTATTTCCTTTTGGCAGTATCGACGAGGTATACATGACTTGTCGACTCACAACTTGTGACCATGGATCGAGAACAAGGCCAATGGCACCTTTATTTTCCGAGTCTCCCGCATGCGATCACAACGCCGCTTGGCCAGCCACCATTATCGTTGTGGTTCCGGGAATGTGGCCCTGGGCAATAGGCCAATAACAGATTCGGCCCAGAGTGGATTGGCGATACTACTGGATTAGATGTGTTGCACGAGCTCGGCGAAGATTGTCTAGCAGATTCCGTCGCCAATTCAGCGAATGACATGCACCTTGGAAATCATGGTTTTTGCGTTGAAGCTGTTTTTTTGGAAGAATGTCGACAGGTTCTTGCGTGTGTTGTCCAAAGGCCAGCTCAAGTTTCTCCGAACTGATTCCGCTGCGATGTACGAAATAGACCGCCTTCTGACACCTGAGCGAGACAGCCAGTTGGCTCAGGTGGTCGAGGGATTAGCCCTGCATGCGGCCTCACACAGTAATTGAGGACTGCTTTCAGGTTTCGCTCAAAAGGCCGGGGAGTCTTCTGAGCCTTCCGAGAAGGCCCGACCCGGCTCGCTTCCCCCCGGGCGCGCCGCCAAATCTTGGCTTTGGGGGCGTTCACCTACAAATGTTTTTGCTTGTCCCACGGACCTGGCCCCATAGATAGTGCATTGTGAGTATCCCAGAGGCCTTCGAGCGCAGTTCCGTCATGCGTCCCACGAGCCAGGGGCCGCAATCATCTTCGTGTTCCAAGGAAATGTATGTGCGCTTTCCAGATCCATGGGGCACGACTTATATGAGTGCGCGTGTGCCAAATTGGGCGTATGTTCGAAGACTCCCCGTTGAGGTGGCATGCTTGATTTTCGAACGCAATGCTTTCGCTCAGTGGATGTCCGGGGTGTAGCTTCGCTGAGGGTTGGCACCAGTCGCCGCATTTTTTCCCGGGGCCATTTGGGCACCCCTCAGGGGGTCGGCGGTTTTAGGCTCAGGATCAAACAGACGGCCTTTTGGGCCCATGGGGCGCGAAGTGCGTGATGAGGGCGCGCCGAATCGACGTTTCTCCTTGATCCGTCTGGGGGATCAGTTGATGGCCCACTAGGTGCCGAATGGTGGCTCCCTTCGGCGTTTTGAGGGCCAGCGGATGTCCCTGGATGTCCACGGGGCACGGGATGCGTAGGGTGTGCGCCGTCTTGAAGCCTCAAGTAGCGGGTTGCACTGGTTCAGTGTTGGCCATGTGGGGCAGTAGTAGTACCACATTGGGTTCCTGGAGGAAGAGCCACCCAGACTGGACAATTGGCGTTTTCGAAAAGGCCCTGGGCGTATACTGAACAGCCCTGCCCTATTTGATTCCTTACATGTGCGCGTTTACTAAACGGCATCGCGTGTCGGGGTGATTATTGCCGGGATGGGTTCTCTGCCCTCTCAAGTTTGGTCAAATTGCGGTTTGGTGCCCACCGACCC